TAGACAGTCCTGTGCTAGAGAGTCAAGTGCTTTGTCTATAAATCATCCTGGATCCAGTCTGTGATATTGCCAATTAAATGACCTCAGTAGAGAGTGAGAGCAATAGCTTTCCTCTGCCTGAGATCCTGGAGGGTCGTTGCCAGACAAGCCCTATTCAGTCCTTACCTAATATGCCATTGTCAATACAGCTGGAAGAGAAGTTAACTGGTTTTCTTCCATGAGAGGAGGGAGAAGTTTCTTGTTGATGTTACTACTAGGGTGTAGACCAACATTCCCTCTAATTCTCCAGAGTGCCGCGTGGCATCTCCACTCCCTGCACACCGGATTCTGGTTACAACTGGAAGCAAATGGGCAGGACCATCAGGTGTGCACCCGCACATCTTAGAGGGAACATTGGTGTAGACCCAGATTTTCTGTGACGCTTGCTCGCACAGAGAGTCTTCATGCAAACACGGACCTCTCCCTTTCAAATTCACCTCTGCCCATATGGAGAAACCACTGACAGAAGGAGAGGAGCCAAAGAAAGAAAGAGCTCATCATCTTGATCTTAACTCACACTCTCTGGGTAGCTTCTGAAGACGTTTTCACTGGGGTTTGTTTCTTGTAAAAGCCCTGCATTGCAAAAGTTGGGGAAAGTGTTTTGCTAGCTTTTGTTTCCTTGTACAAAAGCTGCTTTTCTTGGTTCCCCCTTTAGAATTGAGGAGACCTGGCGACTGTGGCAGCGGTTTTTGGATGACTACTCTCGCTTCGAAGACTGGCTGAAGACAGCAGAAAGGACAGCTGCTTCCCCAAACTCTTCTGAGGTTTCGTACGTAAATGCCAAGGAAGAGCTGAAGAAGTTTGATGTAAGCCTTTCTTTCTTTCTTTTTTCTTTCTTCTTCTTTTTTCTTGTTGATTACACTGTGGGTTTGGTGCATCACATGGAGGATCCACACTTGTGCGTGGCCTCAATTTATTTCCTTCTAGACAGAGAGTTTGGAGGTAGACCAACCTCTCCTGTCTACAGTTCGTGTATTAGAAAGCTGTCTTTTAGTTCATCTTCTCCACTGCAGAAGCAACTCATTGGAGTTGATTTAATGCTTCTTATTAGGTTCATGGTTATCATTATATTTATTGTGCTTCTTTAATATTTTCACTTTGTGAACAGATGTACATAGGCTTGGACTCTCTTCTCCCTTCAGTTTTTTCTTTTCTTTTTTTTCTCAAAACCCACCCCCCCCACTCCATGGCCATTTTTTAAGCCAAGAGTTCCCAACCTTGGGTAATCCAGATGTTCTTGGACTGCAACTCCCAGAAACTCTGACCAGAAGAACTAGTGGCGAAGGCTTCTGGGAATTGCAGTTCAAGAACACCTGGGTTACCCAAGGTTGGGAACCACAGCTGTAAGCACTGGTGTTTTTTAGTGGATAAAACATTTCTCTCTCACATACAAAAGGTGACTATTTTGCCTCTTGAGTATATAACATGACTCTTTAGAATGCAACGTTTGTCAGTCATTTTCAGACCAGAGTATATGTAATCTCGGTGTTCATTTATGCTCTTACCAGCTATCTCTGATTTTTATAATCTTCTAAAAGATATAATGTATGTGTAAATCACCAGTGATTCCCCAGGTCATTCTTCTATTTATCACTGTCTGTCGGTCTATCTAAAATATTTTTACCCTGCTTTTCTCCTTAAAGGAACTCAAGGCAGCTTACATCATTAAAAGGCAATATTAAAGCTAACAACAATGAGTATACAAATACTGAAAATAATCAAACAAATACCCAACAAAAATGTCTCTACCACTCAATGGTTTATGCATCTGGCTGTAGAGCCAGAACTGGGAATTTGATTCCCCCAGACGACTGGACCTGATGATCCATATGGTCCCTGCTAGCTCTGTAGTTCTAAAATATCTAAGAAATCAACTATATAAATCTCAGTGTTGATGCTGCATTGATGCTGATGTTGACGCCATGTATCAAAGCTGGAACATCCAAGAAAGGAAAGACAGATTCCTTGGGTAGCCACGTGGCACAGTGGTTAAACTGCTGTACTGCAGCCAAAACTGTGCTCACGACCTGAGGTTCAATCCCAGGTAGCTGGCTCAAGGTTTAATCAGCCTTCCATCCTTCCAAGGTCAGTAAAATGAATACCCAGCTTATGGGGT